TTGCTTGTCGGGATTCCGAGATGATGCATCAATCGGAATGGCATAATGCTAACAGCGGAACCCGGATCAACTTGGATCCGGTTGACCATGCTGGAGCCAATGTGCCCGGTGAAATACAAGGGCCGATCATGCTTCGAGTTTTTCGTCTGCATGTCTTCTTTTGTAAAAGAGATGCATGGAAAATGATGCGCCGCGAGATTGCAGTGCTGAGTTGACGGCTCTGGTCCTTCAGGAGATGGCTTGATTCGAGTTAGAAAAGCTTCAGAGTCGCTCAAGGCCTCTTGTAGTGCTTTCCTTGTATCTTTGGACAGACGCAGCAGCTCGTATAGGGTTATCCTAGCCGGGATATTGGCCAACTGCGCCATGATATCAAAATGGGGCGGAGAGCTTGCATTTCCCGGTTTGTCTCTCCCAATCGGATGATTGAATCGAGACTGCCTCGGGGTTTGGGTCTCCTGGCGTAAAGGCTCTTTTCCTTTCTCCTTCTGTTGGACTCTTTCCGCGGCTATAGGCGTCGAGGGAATTGCTGCTATTCCCAATTCCGCCAATGTTTTGGACGGAGGAGTGTTGGTACCTAGTCGGGTACTTGTAATGATACTCATTCCCGCTTCGGGTCGCAAAGGCCTCCTGTTCATCTTCAGAAAGCGGGAAGGCGGGAATTTCTTCGTCATCTTCCCCTGGAATAGCAGAAGCTCCATAACAAGATTTACCTTTTCCTTTTGACTTCCTCTTAGAGGAGGCTCCGGTCCATTGTTCGTCCTTGATCAAGTCTGGATGAACCTAAAGAATCTCACCATTAGGGGCCGTGTGTGGCACAAGTCCCTTCTGGCGCTGCTTGTGAGGATCATCGTTCACCGTCTTCACAGCTGCATTTACTACTGGCTCATGTTGGAACCAGTTTAATGGAACAGAACCGAAGCTGATTGATACTGCATTCGCCCCCACTTTCTTCTCCTTGGGCTGCTTCATGGTGATGACCCCGACATCGATTAGAGCTTGGATCTTGTCCTTGAGGGCATAGCATACCTTGGTGGGATGGTGCACCGCTCTATGAAATGCGCAATATTTCGGATCATTGACTCTCTTGGCATCCTCCTGATCCTGGATTGGAGGCAATTTGATCTTGTTATTCTCAACGAGGTATTTGAAAATACCGGGAACTTCATCCTCCCTGAACGAATAAACTTTTGGGAACTTTGGCTCTGAGGCTTTTGGCCTCGGGGTCTGCTGTTGCCACCTTGGTTGTTGAGGCGCCTTTTGTTGCTGCTGTTGCGGCTGCGCTTGCACCTCGAACGTTTGATTTGCGTTCACGGCGTTTGCGTGTGCCTTCCCTCTTCCCTTAGGGGCAAAGTTTGGTTGTGCAATTCATTGCTTTATTTCGAAACCTTTTCACAAAGTTTTCGACTGTCTCACCATTTTTCTGTTTCTCCTCAAACAGAGTGCTGATCGAGACCTCAGTGTCATCATCAAAGAAGTTCGTCAAGAACATGTCTTCCATGTCGTCCCAACTGCTGATGCTCCCCGGCTTGAGGCGACGATACCAATCGAAGGCCGCTCCGCGAAGAGTGCCAACGAATGACCGTACCATCAAGGGTTCATTGCCGGAGATTATTCCTAAGTGAGACTTGAAATATTCGTCAAGAACATGTCTTCCATGTCGTCCCAACTGCCGATGCTCCCCGGCTTGAGGCGACGATACCAATCGAAGGCCGCTCCGCGAAGAGTGCCAACGAATGACCGTACCATCAAGGGTTCGTTGCCGGAGATTGTTCCTAGGTGAGACTTGAAATAGATTAAATGTTGGGTAGGGGAACCCTTTCCATCAAACGGCGTAAAGTTAATGAGATTGAACTTTGCCGGATATGGAATTGATTCCCACTCCCTTGGATATGGACACGGTATACCTGACCTTTTTACCTCTTGAGCATTCATCAATGCATTGATTTTGCTCTCCAAGTCTTTCATCTTTTTGTCTTCACTCGTTTCTATTTTCGAGTGGTTTTGGGGAGAGGTAATGTGGTCTTCTTTGGCATTATCATCTACCGGACCACTTCCGTTGTCGTTGTTGACAGGGGGAATAATGACATTATTCCCTTCCCGTTCATTCTCTTCTTGGTTCTGATGATTGGGTCGAGTGGGCTCCTCTTGATGAGTTGTCAAAGCTGCGAGTTGCTGATCGTGCATCTCCCTCATCCGCTGTAGGGTCATTTCCATCTCGAATTTGAAAGCTTCTTTCTGCCGAGCTAGGGCGTCTTCAAGCATCTTGTTCATTTGTTCGGCACTGATCATGAGTACCTCGCGGGGTTGTCCTTCGCTAGATACTGTGTTGTCCGAAGCAATCGCGGAGCCGGCATCTGATGCTTCGTCTTCTGATGGTAATCTCGTCCGAACCCTACCATAAGTCCCTCGTGTAATGGTTCCGGACTGTAGGTGAGTTAGATACCAGGGTACCAACGGGATTGACTCGGGATTGTCCCCTGTCGATGCTCCTTTGCTGGCCATGTTGATGGTGACCTTCGGGAATTCTCTGTCTTTGACTATCCTTCTTCTTCGCTGGAAACGCCTAGGCTTAGCTTCAGACGTTCCGGTGGAAATTCTGTCAAATACTGAAATTCTCCTTGGGGTTTGAGCACAAGAGCATTCTGACAGCACTGCCTTGATTATATTGGCGCACGGGCAGCGAGACTCCATGTCCTGCACATACTTCTTTCGAGATTTCCCCATACCACCAGCTCTATAGTACAGCTCATCAGCTTGGTAACTGGAGCAACCTATAGAGTGTTGGCATGTGCTCCTTGGTAAAACACCATCATCCTCAGATGAGTGTGCTTCCCCTTTGGCATGGGATGTTTTGTTAGTTTTCTCAAAAGTGGCCCGTTCAAGTTTACGTTTTTGTGAACATAAAAATTGAACGGGCTCTTGTATTTCGACTCGCAATCCGATGCGGTCGGTGATAGGGGCTTTCCCTTTGATATTCTCCTGGGGGGAGTTAGAACGACCCCCAGTCGGGTTTATCATTAGGGGACCTTTCAACGGACCCAATCGCTCCTTGATAGGTACTTTACCTCGATTCCCTGGTAAGGGACCGAGGCGACCTTTCACAGGAACCTTGGATGTTGAAGGATCCGTGTTCATACCTGACCCCACCGGAGGTGCCGGGGTAAGGGGAACGGGACTTGGCTTTGGTGAAGGTTGGGCAGCAACATCTTCCACTCTCGTCTTAGGCGTTGGGTTCGCCTTTAGCATCCACACTTGCTTGAGTTTTGGCGGAGTCTTGACCGCCTCTTCTTTCTGCATCTCCTCTGCTTTCTTTAGGAGGAGTCGGGCATGCGCGAGCAACGCCCGACGCTTCTTGATTCGCTCCTCGAGGGTGGAACGATTCCTCTTTACACGAACCCATTCGTTCGTTTCTGTTTTGGAGGAGGGGTTGGTTACGTACCGTTGTTGTTCTCGGTGGTACCTGGACTTTAGATCTTCATTGTAGCGGATCCCATCCATTGATTCAGCGGCTTTGGCTAGTTGTTGGGCGAGACGTTGACGCCGTCTTTGGCGGGCCCTCTTTGACAGAGCTGGAGTAGCATCATCCTCGACCACGTTGGGCGACGCGGAGACGCCACGTGGTGCGAGTGCAGCGATGGCTAAGGGATCTTGGGTCTTCGAGCTGAGGGTCCCGCGAACGACTCTGGAGGAGGATGCCTTCTTGCGCCTACTTGGAGAAGCGGATTTGGAGGAGGAGGAAGAGAGATACTCTTCGAACTTCTGCTGATCGAACTCGTATTCGATCTCTTCATTCACCCGGATCTTGAATGCCGGTTGCGTCACGACGGCGTCGGTAGCGATGCCGTTGGCTCCCACCGTGGTCGCCAGTTTGTTTTCGGGGAAAGTTGCTGTTTTCATTGCTTTTGAAAGATCTAGAAACTTCTGATCCAGAAATATCGGACAGAGCTTCGTCGATCCGCGTGAGATCTAGAAACTTCTGATCCAGAAATATCGGACAGAGCTTCGTCGATCCGCGTGAGATCTAGAAACTTCTGATCCAGAAATATCGGACAGAGCTTCGTCGATCCGCGTGAGATCTAGAAACTTCTGATCCAGAAATATCGGACAGAGCTTCGTCGATCCGCGTGAGATCTAGAAACTTCTGATCCAGAAATATCGGACAGAGCTTCGTCGATCCGCGTGAGATCTAGAAGCTTAAAGCGTCAATCTCGGCTAAAGCGAGATATTAGCTCTTCTTAGTATTAACGCCAAGGGCTAATACTAAGGATCAGACGGGGAATGGGTGATGAAGACTGATGTAGACCTCTCCTCCTCGGTTGAAGCGCTCGACCACTCTTTGCTGCAGCAGGGCTTCGCCAAGGCTCTCCAAAAATCCTCCTCTCAAAAGCAAGGCCCAAGGGGGCTATTTATAGTGTTTAGGAGCATGTAGGGGGGTCTAGGGGGCCTAGACACCCTATGGTGTCTCGGCCAAGGCCGAGACACCCTTGGGGTGTCTAGGCTTTTCCTAGACACCCCCGGGGTATTTCGACTTGCCGAGACTCCGTTTAGGTGTATTTCGTTGTCTTCCCTGTAGATTCTTCGTCCGAACTCGGATTTGAGTGATTCCGGGTGCGTTGGATGCTTGACGAAGAGTTCGATCCGCTCTGGTGGTTGGATTATCTGTAGAGTGGTCGAGGCACGATGGGCGTTGTCCTTTTTGTGAACACTGCCGGGTCTCCGATTGGTCCGGATCTTCGTTGTTCTGAAATCCTGTCTGCTCATGTAGCTCGTCGATTCACTTCAGTCGTTCATCGACGTTTTTTAACACTGAACCGTTTGTGGAGACCTATAGGCAGTTTTTGATGCCTACAAACTCTATTATTGTGCTTATTAGACTTGGCTAAAGTATGAAAGTATCTGGTATTTCTATCCCCTTGCACACACCAAGCAATTCTGGCTTTTTGTTTGTAGAAAGATAACTCACAATTTAGGAGCTTGTTATAAGAGCAATAATATTCTTTTTACTGTCTTATAAGATCATAATTTAGAGGGTTTACTTGAAGATTTTCCTGGTCCTCCTGTAATGCATTTTTTGCTCTAAGCACTTGTTCACTTATATTATTGAAGTGCTTCTTGTTGAGATCCTTCAATGCTCCTCTAAGCACTTTCAACTTTGTATAAACAGAGAACATAGAATATCCTTGTATGAATTGATGCCAAATATTAGAAATTGTAGGGATATAACTGTCATGATTGATCCATATTTTATAAAATTTGAAGGATTTTTTCCGTGGAAAAGTATCCTCATATAATAAAACTATAGCAGGGGAATGATCTGAAATCCCAGGCATCATGAATTCAACATGACTAGAGTTGAAATTATTGATCCAAGCATCATTTATCAGAGCCCTATCCAGTCTGCTCCATACTCTAGCATCAGCTTCTTGTTTGTTGTTCCATGTAAAGAAAAAACCTTGAGTTTTAAGATGACTTAGAGCACATACTTCTATAAAATTGCAGAAATCACCTGTGTGAGGTTCAGTAAGAATAACTCCTGTCAACTTTTCCTCAGAACTTATCATGGCATTAAAGTCACCACGTAGGAGCCATGGTGTATTGCCAATGCTTTGACAGATGCTATTAAGATCATTCCACAGTCCCTTTCTGGCTTCCAATTGATTAAATCCATATATAGCTGAGATGAAACAATCCAATCTTCCATCCTTTGACTTGACTGAGCAAGTAATCTGTTGATCAGACATATTTATAACTTGGGTATCAAAGATATTAGGATCCCACATAATGATTATCATGGCTTTACCAACAGCCCTCACATTAGATTCCCACTCCCAATTACTGGCAATTTTCCTGGTAACTTTTGAGATAGAACAATCTTTGTTTTTGGTTTCAAGGAGAGCTAAGAAGGAAATATGATATTGCATAAGTTGATTCCTCACTATTTGCTGTTTGGAGGATTTATTAAGTCCTCTCACATTCCAAAAAGATAAATTCATTAAAGGTATTCTCCTCTATCCAATGTAGAGGAAACATTTACATCTTTATCCCCAAATGGATTTTCAGTAAAAGCTTTTCTGGATTTGCTTCTTTGTATAAGTATCCAGGATTCATGTTGTGCACCTTCCTGTGCATGTTTACTGTTACCATATACTGGAGTTACAATTTCTTTACTTTATGTAGTTGCCCCTCTTGTAATTCTTCTTCATTTTCATTGGGAAATCAATAATTGCTTGGCCTCATTTCTATCAGAGGATTTTCAAATCTCATGCCCCCTTTTCTTATTTCCAGTATGTTTCCTTCTTGAGTGTGTGCAACATGTACATAAGGGTGAACAGATTCCACCCTTTCATCACCCTGAGTATTAACTTTTAGAGTATTATGTCCAGGAACATATACATGCACAGGAACAGATACTGGTACATGCACAGGAGCAGATTTACCAGGATCAACTGTTTCCTTTGGTGTCCATCTTTGAGCTCCAGATTCCACCCTTTCATCACCCTGAGTATTAACTTGTTCAGGGACAGATACATGCACAGGAATAGATACTGGTACATGCACAGGAGCAGGTTTACCAGGATTAACTATTTTCTTTGGTATCCATCTTTGTGCTCCAGCTTTCCTTCAACAAAAATTTGTTTCATGACCAATCTTTTTGCAAATGTCACACCACCTTGGTTTCAATTCATAATACACTTTCTGAACATATTTTTTACCTTTTGGTCCTTGAATGAATACTTCATCAGGTAGCGAAGAGGGCATATGTACTTCAACTAGCACCCTTGCATATGCAAGTCTTATTTTGTTTGTAGTGAGCTTATCAGTAGCAATATGGGTTCCTATCATGTTGACAATTTTGCTAATGCATTTGGCATTCCACAGATTAAGTTTCAAACCTGGCAACTGGATCCAGACTGGCTATACACAATCCTCTTTCCTTTCTAAATCTTCATCAATATTCCAAGGCTTCAAGAGGATATGTCTAGATCCAAAGAACCAATGACCATTTTCCAAAATATATTTCATATCCTCAACGTTATTAAATTTGAAGAGGAATAAGCCAGGTTTCAGGAGGCATACTTCTGGAACTGCAAGATTCTCCGCAACTTTATTCACATAGGATTCTATTGCCTTGAATTTTGCATTTAGTCCCATAACTTGGCCAATAAGTGAAGATTCCCACATGATACTCCCTTCAATCCATTCATCCTCATCAAAAATTATTGAACCCATAATATCAAGTTTCACATAACTCAGACTAAAACCACTTCCAGATTTTCGATTATCAGCGAAAAGACTTAACCAGCTTTTTTCACAGCTAGTTATGGTGGAGGAGTCTTCTTAGGCTCAAGCGTGGGAGAGCCAAGATTGTTTACCTCTGAAGTCCTCTTAGACTCAAGAGGGGGAAAATCAAGATTCTTTACCCCAGAAAAACCTGCATCTAAGCAATCTTGTGAAAAATTAGTCACGGATTTTGATATTCTAGAACTATTTTCAAAAGATTCCAATGGAACAGTGCAAGATTTCAGAGGCGAATTTAGATTACTAGAGATTATATGATCTAGAATTTTATCAGTCCTTTTTGAAGAGAGATTTGTGGATGTATTCTCCAAATCAAGTTCATCGGCCCAAGAAGTTCTTGAAGAACTACTAACGCCATGGCTGAAATTCAAGAAATTACCTCCCAATTTTGAACTAGAATTTTGAGGATTCACCAAGAATTTCTTTGAACTGAGGATTTCCTCCATCATCATCTTCTTTTTCTCTCCCCTTGGACCCGTAGATCCCATGATCTCGAGATCCAAATCTTCGTCTTCATCAGCCGAATTCATACCAGATTGATCCTCACAAGAATTCAAAGCTTTTGATCTTATGTTGATGATCTTCTTAGTAGAATTCCTCTTCTTCTTAGCCATCTAGATCCAGAAAATTCAAGAGAAAACTAGGCGGGGGCGCAGGTTAGACAAGCAAAAATCGCTTTCTAACATGCACCATGGAACCGCCGCTTTTTTTAGAAAAAAAATAAATAAATAATAAAAAATAAAAAAATAAAAAAAATAAAAAAATAAAAAAGGATAAAGTTGAAGCCTAAAATCTTACCATTGAAAAAAAAAATTTAACCATACTTCCTAGTGTGTCCTGAAGTCCTAACAACAACAGTTGGTAAGGGTCAAAAACATGAACCAAACAGAACAGAAGCTTGTACCCCCTACATTATATTCCTTAAACGTACCTTAAGTTTCTTCTTTAAAGAAAAACAAATTGAAGCCACTGGTTTTTATTTACTTACACGCTAGCTTATCCTGTTTTCTTTCGTTAGGCGACCATTACTAAGCTTTTAATTTGTCTTTATGTTTATGGCATTTTGCTCCACCTAATAGGAATTTAATCCATCACTTATTTGCACGCAATCTTGAAGGGAAAATAATAATTAAACGCATTATTGTCACATCCAAAGTCTCAGATCTTTTCTCACCGAAGCTAGATAAAAATTTTGGCGTCTCATGTAAACAAATCAATCGCAAAAAAGTTTGAACGCATGCTTCAAGCACTAGCTATAGCTAGCTAGTTTTAATAAGATGATTATCGGCTAAATATCCTTATTGGTATTTTAATTCTACCCCGTTTATCAAGAAGGTATTTTAATTAGACAAACCTACTTTAAGACATTTTAATTGATTCAACTTACCAACAAGGCCCTTTTACTCGTCGGCGACCAGTTTTCCGGCGAGAGCTCGTCACGTACGTGGCACGTGATGACTTAAACTATTTTTTAGCTACTGATGTGGCACGGATTTTCTGACGTAGCAGTGTTTAAAGGCGGGAATTAACCCTCTAAAAATCCTAATTCACCCAAAATAGGACAGATCCGTGCCACATCAGCAGCTAAAAAATAGTTTAAGTCATCACGTGTCACGCACGTGACGAGCTCTCGTCGGAAAACTGGTCGCCGACGAGAAAAATGACATTGTTGTAAGTTGAATCAATTAAAATGGCTTAAATCATGTTTGCCTAATTAAAATACTTTCTTGGTAAATGGGGTGGAATTAAAATACCAATATGGGTATTTAGCCGATGATTATCATCAGAAACTTAACAATTTAGCATCTCATTTGTTAAAACATTTTCACGGGGACACTCCTCTTCTCACCCGTACACGTGGTCTAATGCCACGTGGCAAAACGGGTAAGGTTCTGGTCACCAACATCCCTCCGAAACCTACCAATTTTAAGAATGCCATATGCTACGAATTTTAGTTTAAAAACTTCTTTAATTCCCTCAACAAATTGGGTCAACTCCGGCCGCCAACCTCTATAAGTATTCCCTCCATCCCCCTCTCCTCAAGCACACCTCGCAAACAAAATCTAGAGTGAGAGAGAGAGAGAGATCGAAATTTTTTCCCATCAAAAGAATTTAATTAATTTCGACTCCAAGATCGATCGATCGGTCAGTTATATCGAAATTGACTGGGTTTTGAAACCCAGTATCGAAAATGGTATTCCCGGTGCTATATCCGAAGATAGTTATGGATTGGTTGCTTTCGCGGAACAACACACCAGCCAAGAGGATGAAGCGACAGGGTTCCTTCCACAGGACCGCCTCGAGGTCGCATCTAGCCCCGTCTCCGTACCCCAGCGTGGCCAAGTGCTCGCCGGAGGGGAGAGAGTCGCAGTCCTTCGTCTGCGACTTCCAAACCGCCCTCCTGAGATCCCAATCCCTGTTCCCTTACTTCATGCTCGTTGCGTTCGAAGGAGGGAGTCTGCTGAGGGCTTTGCTCCTCCTGCTGGCCTATCCTCTGATCCTGGTCCTCGGCCCCGACGAAGGGATTAGCATTAAAATTATGGTCTTCATTAGCTTCTGCGGGCTAAGGGTGAAAGACGCGGAGATCGTGAGCAGGGCGGTTTTGCCCAAGTTCTACCTGGAGAACATGAACGTTTATTCGTACGAGGTGCTGGCTTCAACGAAGAAGAGGGTCGTGGTGAGCAGGATGCCGAGGGTGATGATCGGAGCGTTCTTGGAGGAGTACTTGGGAGTGGGTGAAGTCGTGGGTGCGGAGCTTCAGGTGCTCGGAGATTTGTTTCTTGCCACGGAGCCGGCTTGGTCTCTTCGGCGGCGTCGGACTTGCAAGCTTGGTTGAGAGGAACAAGGCCGTTAAGGAGCTGTTCGGCGAGAGCAAGGCTGATGTCGCTTTGGTGAGCTACTGCAGTCCACAAGATAACCTCTTCATCTCATACTGCAAGGTTTGGTTCCTTCTTCCTTGTAATTAATTAATTTTTCCCGTGATTAATTTTGAGTCCTTCTAGCTAGCAAGACTGAGTATATATAGCCTCTCTTAAATATTGAAGCATGACATGCAATTAAGTAGGTTATTTTTCTCATAACTATAAATTCCTTTATTTAGAGTGATTAAAACTCTCTTTAGTTTTCATTTGTTTGATGATATATATGTAGACATGTTTAGCCTTTTCTTACATTGGTATGTTGCTTCTAGAGTTTCTAATCCATCCTCAGTGAAGCTACAATTAAAACTTCGGTTTTTGTTAGCTTTGGATTATGAAAATGACTAAATATTTTTTTACATAAAATGTTGTCACAAAGAAGGTTCTAGAGATAAATTTATTCTATTTTTTGGAGATCATTTCTCAATTATTTACATTCATATTTACAGTTTTTCTTTTGCTAATATAAGTAAAAGTATGGTAAATATTTTTGTCTATCACCAAAATTGTGTCGTTGTAGAATGAAAAAGGTAGAGAAGATACTAGAAATTACTCTTTTCTCAAAGCTATAAACGCTATAAACAATATGGAAATTAAGGAATGTAATTAGCTGACAACATAAGAAACTTTTTCTTACATTCATTGATTAAAAAAGAAAGAAAACTTTAGGAATTAAAATCGCCAACTATTTTAATCATAATTTCTACGTACATAGGAATTATGAAATAAATTTGAAAATTTTATCTAATAATATTTTACCCCTTAAGGTACCGTTTGGCAAAGGGTTAAGTGAGGGGTTAAGGAGACTTAACCCCTTCTTAACCTGCCAAACACAACAAATCTATATAAATGTTAAAATGAGTTAACCCTTCATAATTTGCCAAACATAAAAAATATAGAAGGGTTAAGTTAACCCCTCTAGAGGGGTTAAAATGAGTTAACCCCTCAAAATGAGGGGTTTACTAATACTCCTATTTAGATGGAATAAGAGTTAACCCTTCTAATTATAAAGAAAATAATCAAAATCATTGTTATTCCCAAACACTAAAACTGATCATAAGGGCTAAAATAAAACTTATTTAACGGGTTAATAATTTAGTCTTTCGGATTATCAAATGGGCTAAGTATATTAATCCTTTTCCTTAACCCTTCTTCATTAACCCTTTGCCAAACGGGGCCTAAAGGTATTATTTTATTGTTGAGACTCATTTTACAGTCATTTAAAGCATATACACTCGAAGCCTCCGAATTTTTTTTTTTTAAAATTTTCTTGACAAGCTGAGGGGAACGTAAAAATCATAATGACAAGCTGAGGAGAACATAAAATCATACGTACATTAATATGAATCATTAATGTCCAAATTAGTGTCCACTGCCATTTGCCTTCATCAGTACAGAAAATTTCTTATATTGTTTGCCCAAAAACAGCATACTTAAATGGTAACTTTCCAACCAAAAGTATTCAAATTAATCAACTGCAACACATTAATCATCACAATAAATATACCCCCCCAAGTGTTACTATATATATTCTTGACTTAACCCTTTCACTTTCCCCTTCTCATTACTGTTACAGGAACCGTACATCGTCACCAAAGAAGCCAGCGGTCCTTCATCAGTAATGCCAAGAAGCAAATACCCAAAACCCTTAATTTTCCATGATGGCAGGCTCGCGTTTCTCCCAACTCCGTTATCATCTCTCTTCCTCTTCCTCTACCTCCCCTTTGGCCTAACCCTAGCCATAGCCAGAGTCCTCATTGGCACCATCCTCCCCTATAACCTAGCCATAGCCCTCGGTCCCTTTTCAGGGTTCAAACTCCACGTCCACAACCCCCCAACCAAAAACCCTAACCCTAACCCTAAAGGAGTCCTATACGTCTGCAACCATAGAACCCTACTTGACCCCCTCATGTTAACCGCAGCGTTGGGTAGACCTCTGACTGCGGTCACGTATAGTCTGAGCCCGGTGTCTGAAATACTGTCGCCGATCAGAACGGTCAGGCTCACGAGAAACCGAGCTGTTGACGCACGTAAATTGCAGAAGCTGCTCAGTGAAGGGGATGTTGTTATTTGCCCCGAGGGGACTACTTGTCGCGAGCCATATTTACTTAGGTTTAGCGCGTTGTTCGCCGAGCTGACCGACAATATGGTGCCATGCGCGGTTGATGCTAGGATTAGCATGTTCTACGGGACGACTGCTAGCGGGTTCAAATGGCTTGACCCGATATTCTTCTTGATGAACCCGAGACCCGTTTACGAGATAAGGTTTTTAGGGCTGTTGCCGAAGGAGATGAGCTGTGGTGGGGGGTTGAAGGGGGTGGATGTGGCCAATGGGATACAGAGGATGTTGGGGGAGGAGTTAGGGTTTGAGTGTACTTCGTTGACAAGGAAGGATAAGTATTTGATGTTGGCTGGGAATGAAGGGATTGTTGATGAGAGGAGGAATAAGAGACACTAATTGATGGTTAATGTTGTTGTAGAGAATTATTGCATGGATTTGATTGTAATTTTTTTCCTCTTTTTTTTGGATTATAGTTATTGGAATTGTTATGGCGGTGATTGAATAATTGTTTGTTTGTAAACCTTTTGTTTTTTTGAGGAAGCATTGGTTGTAATTGTTTGTACATTGTAATATTATTATTTTATTGTTGAATTTAGAAAGTTATTGTACATCCAGTGTTTGTGTGAAAACATTGTAGATATGCCAGTATATGCCAGGATCTGCTTGTCACAAGTAGTTAGAATGTAATGTAATATAACATCATGGAGTTCATATTCCTCAATACTCTTCTGTTTAATCCGCCGTGGGTGACTCGGATAGTTAGGAAGTTCCAATATGACTTTCACAGTCTTGTATTTAATTCCCAGCTCAATTATAAAAAAAACACACTTTCCATTTCAATTTTACACAATTAATTCTCCCGTTTAAATCAAATTTTCTTTTAAACTCTTTGAAATGGCAATAACATCAAACAAAACATTTATGCTGGAATTGGGATGCAGTTAAAACATTAACATGAGGAAGATCTTATCCAACAGACATATCTTTTAATTTTCAAGATGGACAAGTTGCAAATTATTAATTATTTTATTTTATTATTTATAATGCATATATTTCTCTAGTTCTCATCATGGAGCACTCAACAAGTTTTATGACCCTTTAATATACACAATTATGAAGCAAAGTATGATATAACAATATTTATGACCCTTTATCGTCTGAATTAAAAAAAAATTATATATGAAGCATTCAACAAAGGCATTGATGTATATATTTGAGTAGAAAGTGTTAAGTTTCCGTCTACAATTTGTCACTTTGTTAAAAAATTAACACAAATAATTAACTTCCGCGATCTGACTTAATTTACTACGGAAGTTCTAGGTACAAAAACTATGACTTTCTCGACCTTGGCTCCCTTCTTCTTTGGTGAACCCCTCACTCAAAACATTTTGACTTGGGAAATTAAAAACATGTTTCAACCTTTATGTTCTTCTTGGTCTCCAACCTCATCAAGCAATCAACAACTCAACTTCGATTAAACAACTTGAAAGAAAGAGGGTTAATTGAATTTGGATACCATTCACTTACATATCGGCAGAAGGCATGCATCACCTTCAAATTAATAAAAATGGTTGGGCACGGTGCAAACTTTTAATATACACAATCTTCCAATTTCTTAAGAGGCTGATTAAGCACCCAACTTAATATATTTTATCCCGATGGCTAAAGAATTTGACTAAAGAGAAAAAAGGGAAGAGGGTCCATTAATTTCCGTGTTAATTGATTATGGAACAAAAAGTTAGTAATTAATCAATTTTTATGCACATTACTTGGGGGTATAATTAATTAAGCACCTAACTTTTACCATGACCGTTTCTTTCTATAGGACCAACCGAAGCAGCCGTTTGAGAGAGAAGGTGACCTAACCGAGACTTGGAAAGGAAACTTGAGCGCTATGCAAACGTGTGTGTTGGCCTCGCAAGTTGCATGCATGCGTCATGACTAAGATGCGTAGTATACATGTGACGTCCAAAATATTTGTTGTGTAGGTAGCATTTATGAGTAATTTACATAGAATTGCTATATATCCATGTGATGATAGGCACAACACAAGCCTAGATTTTGTTTTGAGAACAAAATAGAAGGCGTTGAGTCGTTGACTCGTGGCCTCAGGGGTCTAGTATGTGGAAAGACTCAAGAGGAGCAGGACTCGGATACATAGTAAAGAACTAGCTAGTTGTTATCCAGTGCAAGCGATTAAATTAATATTCTTGTATGTATATTAGATTTTTGGGTAAAGAGAGAGAGAGGATAGAAATAAGAATTTTTTTCTTAGAAAGACAGAATAAAATGAATGATTTATAGAAAATTAAAAGATAAAACATAGGAATTTTTAAGATGTGGAGGGTGTTGTGGCAAAAGCTGTGTCGAGGAACCAAACCAAACGCCAATCCAAGAGAGCCAAACGAACTAAATATCAATGCACAAACAAAACACCAATTTTAACGTGGTCCGGCAAATTGCCTACGTCCACGGGGCAAGAAAGGGGATGAGGTTTTCACTAATAGAGAAAGAGTACAAACTGAGATTACAACTCACTCGAAGGAACAAACTAATCTCACCAACAAGCTCTTAATCTCTCCAAACAAAACCCTAAACAAATAGCTCAGAAAATACCTCTTTTCTGTGCTCCAAATATCCCCAATTTGCTTCTCCAAATTCTCTCTTCCAATTATTCCATATATATAGAAATCCTAAAATCATAAACATACTAGGAATTCTAAACCAAAAGCCAAATCAAATTGGGAATCCTAATAACCTATTACCAAAATAGATTAGGAATCCTAATAAACTCATGTTACCAAAATAGATTAGGAATCCTAATAACCTCATGTTACAAAAATAGATTAGGAATCCGCTATCCAACAATTCTCCACCTTGGCGAAGTTTTCCCAAAACCGAGTCGACACCAATACCAACCAAACGTCTCACTTGTTGCGTCCAGTACGAAGTGGAACAAATTCACGACAACGGACTCAATCCACAATAAGTTGAGAACCCAAACGAGAATGCGAACAAACTCAAAATATCAGTATCAACTCACCAAACCGGCTGCATCATAAATGACTGCCTACGTATCCTCTTTCCCAAGGAATCAAGCCTTCACGTAGTTCACTCAAACGGCCTCCAAAGGCCCTTAAACAAATAGAAAAGTCTGTAACTCTTCCCCAATATCGCTAACGGATCTGCAACTGATAGCGGCCCCAAACTGATACAAATCAAACACCTCCATCTGAGGTGAACCAATGACCGTATCCAAATCATGTCCACCAGCTGCAACCGAATCTAAAACCAATCCATCATCTGCATCCGAAATAAAATGATCCCCAACCTGTGTCACCTCACCTGGAATCCAAAATAACGCAGTATGATCTGGAGTATGTGGAATAAGTTCCACCCAACGTGAAGTAGCATCACCCTCCACCTGCTATCTACCTGCTGAGAGTCCAATGTGACATACCTGCTCAGAATAAAATCAGAAGCTCCCAACCGATAATCAAATAAACCTCTGAATCCCAAACGCGCAATCGGATCAAATCTCACATCCTCGATGTGACCAAATGCTGGGTAACCAAATATCCGACGCCGACCAAAATCTAAAGCAGCTTCACCAGATCCAATAACTCCTAATGCAGCAGTCGGCGACCTATGACTAAGATGACCCAAATATATCGAAGCTCCAGAACCAATGCTCGACAACCAACACCGATCCTCCTCCAGAAAGGAATGACCTATCGAAACTGTCATCTTATCTTGTCGCCCCAAAGTCTCCACATCAATGAAGTGTCTCCTATTGCCGTGAGCTCGGCACAAACGCAAGAAAGGACTCCTACCAAAGCTAGAATAACGAGTTACCTTTCTGCCAATACACTTCTTCCAATTGTTGTTGACTTCTAGGACTTTACACCAACGGGAACTGGTCGCGACCCAATAATGCCTAGAACAATCACCAACTGCGAAAACTACAAAACGATTATCTCCCAATGATGCCTCCTTAGAAGGCCCCCAAATGCCTAACTGAACACCTCCTAAAAGACCCCTCGTTCGATGGATAGGAGTGTCAAACTCCACATCGGTCTTGCTCATCCCAATGTGCTCAAAGGACTTCCATCTGTAGGTCAAAGCACTCCTCAATAACCTATGCACGGCATCACCAATCAAATACCTCAGCACCAAACAATATCACAATCTAGCCAAATCCAATGAAGTCGTCAAAGCTCTATCAATCACTGTGATCCCAAGCAAATAGTATAAGTTACTCTTTCTGACGCCCTTCATCACAATCATGGACCCAAATGTAACCTTCAAGCGTGAATCTGCCAAGGTCACCCTATAGCCTGCTGCCTCCAAAGCTCCAAGTGAAATAATGTTCTTCTTCAACTGAGTAACGAACCTCACTCCAACCAACTCCCGAATCACCCCGTCACTCATCCTGATCCGAACAGTACCGATACCACCAATAGAGCATTTGTGATCATTCCCCATGAGCACAAAATCCCCTCTTTCCAACTCCTAAAAGCTGGAGAACCAATCCCTCCTAGGACAAATATGGTATGTAGCGTCCAAATCCAACATCCACTCTGTAGAGTAGGCAACACAAACTGACGACAGTGCAGATAATGAGTAGCCTGAAGAATCCGAATCTGAATTATTGCCACTAGTTTTGACAATATTCACCTCTGAAACTTGTACGACTTTCCCCTTATTCTTCCCGGCTTGATCATTCAACTTTTGGCATTCAGTTTTCCAATGTCCATCTTCTTTACAAAAAGCACACTGATTCTTATGAATTCCAAGATGTACTCCTCTAGAATGTGACATTCTACCTCGGTTTGGACCCTTTGCTCTTGCAACCAATGCCCCCGTTACCGGCTCAATAGAAGTCTCTGTAGGCTGTCTAAAAATTACAATAGATAGCTGATCCCCATCAAACACCGATGATGGAAGTTACAATCTGACGACTTCCAGAAGGTTACAATTTGAAGACTTTCACGTAGATCGCTAAAGGTTACAATCTGACGACCTTCACGACAACTGATGGAAGCTCTAATCAAACAGCCTTCATAATCAACATCGGGAGTTACAATCTGACGACTCTTATATATCAGAGAGCTAAAGCAAAGATTACAAAATGACGATCTTTGCAACGCTTCGACAGAAAGAGACTACAAATCGACGGTCTCTTCAAATCAAACTGTGGAAGTCCTCCCCGCACACCAGCATCAAGACGCATCGCGTTCATAGCCACGAACGCAGCTCAACGCAGCTCCAACCGCTGTCCAACGCAGCTCCAAGCGCTGCCAGACGCAGCCCTAATCGCTGCCAAACGCAGCTCTAATCGCTGCCAGACGCAGCTCAAATCGTCGCCAAACGCAGCTTCCAATCACTGCGTTCAAGCTTCCAGACACTGCGTTTGGACACAGAATTCATGCCAGAATGCAGGATCTACGTTTGACTCATTCAAACACGAGTTGAACGGTTTCAAAACCGTTTCCCACGATCTGAGGGGATCACAACTCCACTCAGGAGTGATTTAAGGGGCGGTTACATCGCATTAGCCCCACTTAGGAGCGAATTAAGGAGGTGGTTAC